ACCTTAGGTCACATGGAACTTATGTAATGGTTCACATATAAAATGTGTGTATAAGATGTGCAACAAAAAGAGGTCAGCATATTTGTAAACAAGGCTCCGAAACGGTGCATCGCGGCAGGTATGCATTATGCTCGATAGTTGCTGGTGGACATGCAATTGTGCAAGAAATGTTTGTTTTTTCGGTTAGATGAAAAATTTAAGCTGTAGGCCATAAAACATATACCCCCTGTCACCAGTTTTGAGTCGTATTTTAGTCGAAAATTTGATTTGTGCATGCGTCGGGTCAAACTTTCCCGACATTTTGTTTCTGTCGCGAGCTGTATAGAAAAGTTCTTTATGTTGTTTTCGCGACTGTCATTAAATATTGAACAAGCTGAGATAGTTGTGGCATATCGGCCACTTACCTGTGCTATTATTTGAAGGTGTTCTGTGTGTTCTATTAGTGTTTTAGTATACTTTAACGGCTAAAATTGACGGACCTAGTGTACCTTGGCCTAGACACATACGTAATGTAGGCTTCTCTTCGGGCGACACCGTCGGACCTGGTGTAGGCCTAGACACATCTGATATACTATACAGTTACGTATAAAGTAAGTTTCTTGGCCTACCACCAGCCTACCGTCAAGCAATAAAAATCAACATTTTTGGAATTATTTTCCAAGAAATGATGGTTAAAAATTCTGGACATATGCAGCATGTGATGGATGGATGAACCTAAGGGTTAGCGGGGGCAGCATGTGATGGACGGACGAACCTAAGGGTTGGCGGGGGGACGGGAGTTCATCAAATGATGTTTGGGAAAATAATGGTCAGAAAATACAGCATCTGATGGACAGTCCCGGGTGGAGCAGAACCTTAAAATTATGGACACACAAATTTACAGCATAGCTTCATCAAATGATGTTTGGGAAAGTAATGGTTAGAAAACATAGCATCTGATGGACAGTCCCGGGTGGGGGAGAACCTTAGAATTATTATGGACACATAAATTTACAGCATGTGATGGACTGACCGTCTATACACATATACAGCATGTGATGGAGGCATGTATCTGATGGACAGTCCCGGGTGGGAGAGAACCTTAAAATTATGGACACATAAATTTACAGCATAGCTTAATCAAATGATGTTTGGGAAAAAAATGGTTAGAAAATACAGCATCTGATGGACAGTCCCGGGTGGGGGAGAACCTTAAAATTATGGACACATAAATTTACTGCATGTGATGGACTGACCGTCTATACACATATACAGCATGTGATGGAGGCATGTGATAGAAGGACGAACGTATGCCTTTCTTCAAATGTTATCACACATAAAAACGGCCGACATGATATTTTCCGTTGCTAGTATTGACACTTGTGAATTATAATATTTCATAGGAATTATTTCAAATTTGTTAAAAAACTGATTCTGATTGAGATTTCGACACTTAAACAAACATATCTCAGCCTAATCGAACGACCGCATTGTGCGAGATGCGAAGTACAAAAACTAATCTCATTAGAGAGTGCGCACTTTATTGACTGTAAAGTATACATAAAAGCGAGAGTATTCCAGTGGATGCGATCTACAACCTCTGAATTTGCCTAGTAACGATTAATTCGTCGAGAAAATGGTAATATTTTATGAGAAACAGTCTGTATTTCTAATTTTTTTAATTCTTTTGCGTAAAACTAAAATTCATGCCAATATTTTTCCCTGAATTATAATAATTGGAGTAATGCAAATGCATGTTTTCTAAAAAAAAAAGTCAGTTTTTAGTGAAATTTTGCCGGGAATGGGGCTTTAAAGTGAGACAAAAAAATTTTTCTTGAGTGCCTTCTTGAAAGAATAGACGGACGAGCAACTTTTTATTTCACAGCTGATGTTATTAAAGAAAATATGCCCCTGACGTCTGATTGTATTTCGTGCCAAGTCTGTTTTAAAGTCGTGGGGTCTAATTTGATTCGAGATTCGTGTTGAGTAATCATGAATCGCATTAACTTGATGAAAATAATTAAAAAATGTGTCTGGTGGTAGAAGATTATGGTTGAATTTGTACATAAATATACCAAGTTGAAGTTTTTGTATGTCATAAACGGTGAGAGTATTAAATGAGGCAAAGAGAGGTTGTGAGTGGGCCAGGAATTGAGCATTTGTACATAAGCGAATGCCAGAGTATTTGGATACAATATTACTCACATGTATCATCAAGGGGTTCTTACCAACCAATACATTATTCTCACTTTATAACAGTCTAGTACTACCCCATATTCATTATTGTAATATTATATGGGGAGATAAGAATAATTGCAATCTCCCACTGATCCTTTAGAAATTATACAAATTTGCAAATTATTTAAAAGCGGCACTAGCAGTGGTTTTGATAACATAAAACCAAATGTTATCAAAGTAGTAGTATGTAACTGTATTGCATCCCCATTAGAACATATTATTAATTTCCTAACTACCGGCGTTGTCCCAACCAAGCTCAAAATTGCCAAAATCATCCCAGTCCATAAAAAAGATGACCAGCATATAATTTCAAATTATCGGCCCATCTCTGTGCTTCCTGCGTTTTCAAAACTTTTTGAGAAAATTGTTCATAATAGATTATATAGTTATATTTCTAAATTTGACTTTTTGCACATGATGATACCAATCTTCTGCCATCGCATACAAATTTTCAACACCTTATTCGTATCGTAAATTGTGAACTGACTCGTATATCTAATTGGCTGAAAGCAAATAAATTATCCCTTAATATAGACAAGACCAAATACATGATATTTAAAAACAGGTTTAGTAGCCTAATCGTATATATCAAGACCAAATAGTTACCATAGACAAAATTCCAATTTCAAAAGTATCACACCTCAAGTTTCATGGCATTACGCTTGATGAATCCTTAGCATGGAATACTCACACGATACATGTGAGTAATATTGTATCCAAATACTCTGGCATTTTATTTAGACTCAAGGGGTTCTTACCAACCAATACATTATTCTCACTTTATAACAGTCTAGTACTACCCCATATTCATTATTGTAATAATGGGGAGATAAGAATAATTGCAATCTCCCACTGATTCTTTAGAAATTATACAAATTTGCAAATCATTTAAAAGCGGCACTAGCAGTGGTTTTGATAACATAAAACCAAATGTTATCAAAGTAGTAGTATGTAACTGTATTGCATCCCTATTAGAATATATTATTAATTTATCACTAACTACCGGCGTTGTCCCAACCAAGCTCAAAATTGATTTGTGCAAAAAGTCAAATTTAGAAATATAACTATATAATCTATTATGAACAATTTTCTCAAAAATTTTTGAAAAAGCAGGAAGCACAGAGATGGGCCGATAATTTGAAATTATATGCTGGTCGTCTTTTTTATGGACTGGGATGATTTTGGCAATTTTGAGCTTGGTTGGGACAACGCCGGTAGTTAGTGATAAATTAATAATATGTTCTAATGGGGATGCAATACAGTTACATACTACTACTTTGATAACATTTGGTTTAATGTTATCAAAACCACTGCTAGTGCCGCTTTTAAATGACCTGCAAATTTGTATAATTTCTAAAGAATCAGTGGGAGAAAAAAAAGAAAGAATTTGGAGGACGATTAATATTCAAAAGGAACTGTTTAAAATCGAGGTTATTCTTTGGAATGTTATTTGCAAGTTTAGGACCAATATTTGCAAAGTATTGATTGAAAGATTTTGCAATATGTTCAGTATCAGACATTTGATGATTATTACAATCATAGAAAACTGAAGGCGAGTTTGGTTTATTATTACGTCCTAAAATGTCATTCAAAATATTCCAAGAGAGCTTACTGTTGTACTTGCAGCTCTCTAGTTTATTTGTATAGTAATTCTTTTTGGAAATTCTGATAAGGGTGGTTAATTTATTGCGGTATACATTAAGTTTAATTTTGTTTGATAAGGATGGATTAGCTACGTACCTCCTATAAAGGTTCTCTTTACATTTAATTGATTTGACAATGGCAGAGGTAATCCATGGCTTACGTGGAATATTACGACGATTTTGTGATTTAGAAGGGTTACATGCACGCACCTTAGAGGGGAAATGAATATTGTAGAGACTTAAAAGATGATTGTAAAAGGTCTCATAAGCTAATTCAGCGGATTCAGTGTTGAAAGCAAAACTCCAGTCAGATCAACTGAGCTTAGGTGACTTAAAATTGGCAATAGCTTCTTGATCGAATGACCGTGTAGGGCGTGTGTAGGATTTCTTGAATCCAAGTGGCATAGATTTTGTAATTTGAAAAAATGGAAAGTGGTCATTTAAGCCAGACACACACACCCCAGATTTTATTTTGTGTGATAAAACATTATTGTTAAGATGTTATCAATCAGGGTAGCAGACACGTGAGTAACCCTAGTAGGTCTGTTTATTAGAGGATGTTGTATTCCTTTGGGTTCTATTGTTTATTGTGTATCTCTTTCTTGTCTGCAGTTTTTAATGTTTAAAACAATGTAATTAAAATGTGGAATTAAATATCTTCATCACGTCTTGATCAAATGTAATAATTAATTTTGATTTTCAGGTTGTCTTGCTCTATGACTACTGTAAGAGTATTAACAATATCGATGAACAACTTACATATTTTTTTTTTCATTTTTAACATTTAACTGATCATCATGAAGTGTACATGTTTTAAAAACATTTACTATTTCAGAAAACACTATACTACTTGGTACTATACTTGGTGTTATTTTTTTGTTGTTTGTCAATTGATGCTTTTTTTATCAGTTTTGCTGAGCATCTTTATTTAATTGACCCTCAATGTGTGGTTTGATTTTTTGTAACACATTTTTTTTTTAAGTTTTTTTACTTCTCACATTATTTACCTACCTGTTTTACTCATGTGAGATCTTAATATGCTTCCACCTAAATCTTTTGAAAATTAATAAAAAAGATTTTTAATTCGTCTTTTATTTTCTAGAATGCTATAGAAAACATAATATTTTTTCTTTATTCTAGATATCTTGAATGATGGGAATGCTTGTTACATACAAGTTGCAAAGGTGTACACTACTTTAAATAAGAAACATACAGAACAATGATCCTTAATCAATGAAAGAAGCGTGCGAGAATCAAACATACAATAATGTACATTGTGTGTGTGCTATTTTGTATTCCAGTATAACACTGAAAATATTTTTGAAGTTTACTCTATATAAAAATTAATAATGCAAATCTATAATTTTTGACTACATAATGGTAATTTTTTTGTAGGATAATTTAAAATTCTAATTATTTAATTGATTTTCATTTAATTTGTGAGTAAATTTCAATGAATAAGCTAAGCTACTTATGTTTAATTCAATAAATATGTTTATTTTAATTGCAAATCTAAGTTTAATAGGCTATGTAATTGTACCTTTACTATTTTGTTTGCAAATTAAAAGGGAAAAAAAACAGTATTTCTGTTTATGTAATCATTTCTGTTTGACATGTTGATACCTGTTAAAACTCATTAAAATACCTGTTAAAAACCTGACAATTGTCACTGCAGTGTAGAATATAGAAAATAAAACACATTGCACAAGTGTGATACATTAAATAAAATATACTGAACTAACATATACATAATTTTATGATTAAGAGTAGTTTTATTAATGACTTTTGCCCTTAAAACAATTGCAGCTGTGTACTACACTAATTAAATAGGTCTAGGCCTAGATAGCTATAGACGTATGTTGATGTGTGTACGCGCAAATATTGTCAATTGACCATAGACGCAGTTTCCATGGACCTGGCCTAGCAACGGCTACCACCGCGGTTACAGTGGCTATTGACAAAACCGCTGTATTCGTGCGGCTTAGAAAATTACTGATTACCTAAATAAAACTAAAAACGACATTTTTTAAACGTATTTCAAATTATCAGTAATTGAATCATAAAAATATCGAAAAGATAATTATAAAATAGTTGACCGTAGATTTACCGTAAATCGTTTTTTTTTTACGGCAACGTGAGCAAGGACTTTAACTTTTACCAGGATAGGAAGCTGGCTGGTTTAAGCCGTCTAACTTGAATTAGCCTTATGTGTGGTATTGTTATGCTGAGCCAAATAAGCACAATCTGCACATGCTCAGAAAAAAAAAAAACTTTCCTTTGCCACACTGCTGCACACTGCGTATCGTCTAGGCCTGCCAAGGATTACGGTACGGTAAAACAAAGAAAAGGCGTATTAAAATCAAAAATTGGCGTTTAGGTCTTTTTTCTGCATTTTTATAAGCGGTTAGACATGGCCTAGGATAGCCTATGTGATGTTCATTGTAATACTACAAAACAAAATCACATCAATTTAAAATAAAATTTGTGAACTTACTTGCCATATATCTTAACTAGCACGTGATTTTATTGGTAGATTAGTTTGTTTTTAAGTGTGTAAGTATGATTGATTTGCATGCCAAGTGAAATTAGTACCCTTATTTTGCTTTGTTTTATCGTACCGTAATTCTCGGCTAGGCCTTGCTGTACACCAAGCCAATTTAGAATTACATTTTAACGAAATATAATTGTGTTTTAGAATTTCCTTAACATAATAAAGGCTAATATGTAATGTTTTGTCATAGTGTTTCATGTGCCGTCATGTAAAATTTGCTCGCCGATTATGCGACAACAATAACAAACAGTGACGTCACCGAAAGGCTTCGTTCTAACAAAAACAAGGAAATGCGCTGTAAGAGCTTTTCTTCTGCTTTGAAACAGTGGTGACCCCAACATGCCTTTAAATGGCCACTCTTCCTAGGGTGGATCTGGTCCAAGATGGGGAAGGCTCATGGTTGTTTGCTCACAGAAGGATATATTTGACAGAATATGGAAACTAATATTCAATCTCAATCAATCAGAAATGTATAAGGCGAAACTATTTCTCATCCACACGGAGATTCTGGTGGCAATGTCAGAACATTGAATTATTTACACATCATCTCATCAAGACATTCACCTCATCAGTTCATTCATTTCAGCAAAAGACAAAGAAAATCTAAAGATTGCAAAATATGACTCTCAAATCAAAGCAACAGCATACAAATCACGTATTCGTCCAAAATTTGAATATGGATGCTCAGTTTGGGATCCAAATTAAGTTTGTCTAATAAACAAATTGAACGGCGGTGTAAATGAGAGCCGCAAGACAATATCCGATTACAGCAAAATGTCAAGTGTCAACGCTTTATAGCTATCAAACAGTGTAGAGAGAAAATAAAGATTACTGTTATTTCATCGAACAATCAATAATGATAGCCATAGTCATTCCACCATACAGTATGTTACTATATTATCCAGAAAACAAAGAAATGTTCATTGACATAAATATGTATTTTGATGTTGCACATAAAATTATAATCAAAGTTATTTTGCGTAAAACAATTGATTGAAATAACCTTCTATCTGAGGTTGTCCAATCTAAGACTAGCTCATGACAAGTTCCTTAAAAATTAAAATGAATAAGCATCTCAGAATGAAATAAATACCAAAACAAATTTGAGCACGTGTTTCACAAAATATTCTAGTAATGCTCAATTACCCATTTTGAGATTCCGAGATATTTTGTACCATGTTTGGTTTTATTTGTTCATAATAGTTTTATAATATTTGTATTGATCATCTCCAACAGGTTAATGCATTAAGGGAAAAGATGTCAGACAACATGGCAGAAGTACAGAAGTCTCTAGGAAGGGAATGTATACGCCAGGCTTCTGTATGCTTTTCATGCAATTTTCATGCAATTTTTGTGAATAATGTTTTCATTAGACCCTGTCTTTCCCGGTAGGGTTCAAGAAAAAAGCTTAATTTGGAAGTGGGGGAAAAGCCTAAGGATGAATCCCCCTGTGGATTTTGTGATTATTTTGATGGTTTTATGCAAAGTGAGAGGTTATTTCTATAACAAATGATTTGACCAAACCCTCCATGGTTTTGGGCTGCTCTTTTGTCAATATCCACTGTTATTCTTCACATAGAAATTTATGTTGAGCTATCTTATGCTGTCCCACAAGCCTTGTAATTTCTGTGTTTTAAAATATAACAGGTATTGCAATCTAATTTACTGAAAATCTAATTGATTATTCTCCATTATGTTTGGATGTTTACGTCATTACAATACTAATAGTTATTTCTAAATCATCTGCTGTAGCAGAGAACAAACAGTCCACAACCAATTATGTAATAATTATTATTTATTGTAGATTCTGCAGGATAGATTAGCCAGGAGACAAGCACTTGCTGTCCAGTACAAAAGCATTACCGAGAAAGAAGAGCAAGAAATGCAGAACAGAATTGAGCATCAATATTCTGTGTTGTCTAAGTTATGTGAAGATAGTCACCTAACGGAAATCCAGATGAAAAGGTAAATAATAGTCAATAATAATAATAATAGTACAAAAACAAAATGGAGTACGAATTGGGAAAAGGGGTTCTTTTTTCTAGATTAAATTTGGAGCATTTTTAGAAGGCCATAACTTTGTAAATAGTAACAGGAAATATCAAATTCCCCTAGATCCTATGAACAAATGAATAGGCAGCACTTTTTTGGACTAACGATGGATTTTATTTACAAGCTTCATCAGATGAGTGAGGTGGTTTATAAGACACGGTAATCTTCATGGACACCAAATTTATCTAATCGCTCTCGAATTGATCTAATATTAGTGTTATCGATAACCAGTTACCAGCAATCATAACACTTTTGAACTTTATTTTGTTTGTCATCACATTTTATTTCACCTATCTACAACGCGTATATTTCTAAAATTTATCAAAACGGAATATGATCACTTGAATAACCTCATGCAGTTTCTCAACACCAACAATGTTACTGTTCATTTCGGTTAAATTTTGCGTCAGGTCCGGATATAATTTCTGCTAAAATTATTAAAACCAATTGCTAGCTTCATTGCCTGTCATTTGTAGAAACATTTTCATATGTATATTTACTGACACTGTTCCCTTACACTGGAAGTGTGTAAACACCGTACCCGTTTACAAGGATGATGTCTAAATCTAGACCTGTTTTTGTCATCCGTTGAATTGTAAGATTCTGGATTCACAATGTAAGTTCATTTGTTAATGAGCATTGCCTTCTTGATCCTAACCAATACGGGTTCGTTAAATGTAAAACCATTTGACTCAACTTAATTTTAAATGGGATAAACTGCTTGACAAAAGTGGCTCTGCTGTTTTGTCGACACTCTATTTTAAAGGTTTTTACAAATGAATAATAAAACATACTGAACTGTACTGAAGACTGGCTAAGCTGCTGCAGCCCTGCTTCAAAAGTTCCGGTCGGATTGGTAGAGGTAGAGGGTGTTCCTATAGGAGACTTAGCAACAATAGAATCCCCACTGGCTTGGCAACCGAGGCGCCACCAACAAAACTCGACACGAATGACGGTAGATGTGACCGAGAACCTTCGGGATCTGAGAGATAGGTGGGAACGCGTACGCCTAAAACCCGTCCCACGAAATCGATAGAGCATCTATCGCACAAGTTAGAAAATCCCAATAACGGATGCAATACACCGGTATTTGTGCATTGGTTCTCCAGGCAAATAGGTCCAGATGAGGCTGCCCGAAGTGGTCGAATATCTGACATGCGATGACTGGTTTGAGGTACCACTCCGTTGGCCGCAACATTCAAGTGACCCAATAAATGAGCTGATGAGAGAGAACGATCTCACCTTAACGGAAGCTTCCACGTGTAGCAACAAAGAATTGGAAAATGCGTTCACCCCTGACGGTTGATGTACGACACAAGTGTTGTACTGTCTGACTGGACAAGTGGTTGGAGAGCATGGATCGAGCGATGAACTGCCAAAAATTCATCGCTTGAGCACTACTGCAGTGGATTTTTGCGCTTTATAAATCTTATTATTATTATTTATTGAGAGGTTGATATGCGACCGTGCTTCGTTGACCGACCCAAATGCCGGAAACGCTGTCCAAGTTGGTGCAACCGCCCAACGGCGGTTTTAATATAGACAATAAGTAGTGAGCCCTCTGTTGGTCACTATTATACATTTTAGATATTCTCGTAGTTGGGGGCGCTAACGCGGAAGCGATATTTTCATTATTCTCCATATATGGGTTTTTGAATGACCAACCAACAGCTTTAAAATTAAAAAAATAATGAATATTCATGATATTATCGAAGAAGACATGTTAAACAGTTCCGTAGTATAACATAGGTACTATGACATGGCTCCTGATTTTACGTGTGAGTATTTGAATTTATTCCATGTTTTTCACCCAAAACTTAAGAAAATCTGGCATGTCAAGTTTACATGGCTATAAATAATTTTTGCAAATTTTTGAAACATTGTAACTTGCTCCATGTTATTACTATTTGACTTCTGCATTATCCTCTACAAAATCTCTCTGACAACTGTTGCGGTAAAAATTTTATTTAAGTTTAAAAATGACCATGTTCGGCCTTTAAAATACACGTGTTTACCCTAGGCAGGCCTAGCATGTCTACATTTTAGACGTAATGGCGTAATAAATAACGCAGACAAGATAACTAATATGTTTTTAAAATATAATTCAAATGTTTCTAGCAGTCTTCCATAGGCAAAACTAGGTATAGGCTCCCTAAAAATAGCCTACGCTACGGGAGGGTAGACTGCCGCCTGGGCTTATGTGGAAGTAAACAATGTTTGGCCCGGAGGGTATTTAAATTTTAAGTATACGCGGTATGCTCTCACGTGAAATAGGCCTACGCTAGGCATAGTCTATTCGCTATAGACATATTTTTAGGATTATTCAGACCCCAAGTTCTATAAAAACATATATCTTGTAATTTTAAAATGTCCAAAAATATTTGATTATTATTATTATTATTATTATTATTATTATTATTATTATTATTATTATTATTATTATTATTATACTTATAATGGTCACATTATTAAGAAGACACAACAATAATTGTTACTTAACCAATATCCTGAGGCGCGTGGAACGGAGAGAGTAGAGAAAACAGTAGAACTTATACATACTGTTTGTGGTGCTGAACTAATAATAATAATTCAAATAATAAAACATTAAATAGTTAAACCGTTATTAAATTTTTAATTATTGGTCATGTTGTAACTTCAGCCGTTGTCTTTCAAACCATTTAAATTATCGTAGCAAAAAGTATAAAAACTAACTTGTGTTTTTAATGAAAGTTAATCACTTGTAAATTATAAATGCTTGAAAATGTGTAGTTCAATGGTTTGATTGAATGTGTGTGGAATGGGAATTGAATATATGGCGTAGACCTATGTTTAAGAAAAAAATACAATCGCATGTTCTTAAATACAGTATATAAAATATTGTATTTTCATTGATATCCGTTTTCGTTATATTGTTGGGAGACCTTTAGCAAGCGCCAGTCTTCCTAAGCATTAACTTGGTTGTCCATTTTTAAATTTTGGCCCCTTTTTTCAATGTATGGTGTTTATTTTTTTTAATATTAATAATAATAATAATAATAATAATAATAATAATAATAATAATAATAATAATAATAATAATAATAATAATAATAATAATAATAATAATAATAATAAAACTGTTATGCCATTTGTACTACATCGAAACCAAGGGAAAAGTGAACGCACAATATAATTAACACTTAAAATATTTTACTTTCCATTGCCTAGAATGAATTATATTGTTATGTATTGCCTAATTAAAATATATTTATATTTATCTTTTCAGCTTATTTAATTGTTACGACGCAGGATGAAAATCAGATACTATGGTGAGATATGTTTTACATCTATCCGGTTTTAATCGATATGCAAGCTACATGGAAACAGATGAACTCGTCATTTTGTCTCTGCATCCCTGCTGTTACAGACAGTTTTGTTTAGCATTCTTGTTTGTATTTTTGAAGAGACCTGGGACTTTCAGATGATGGGAAATTTATATTTTATCTGAATCAAATTACTATTGAGAACAGATTGTTTAAAACCCCGTACCCTTTTTATGAAAATAAATTTACACACTAATTACTGCACATATTAACACAAAGCGCAATAACATATTTTGTTGTGCAGTACTATAATATAGTGTGAATATATTGGATTTTCTACTTATAAAGTGCAATAGCAATTTGTACAAAAATAACTGTCAGTATTAACCTGATTGCATACCTTTAATTTGGATTCCTGATGATGACATAATTAATATCAAAGTATTGAATCCCTAAACTTTGAGTAAGTATTATTTTATCTGCTGTCATCAGTGGACCTTTCGGTTTAATTTGGATTCTTGTATTTTTTAAAGGTTTATTTTGTTCATTAAAAATATAACATGTAGAACATAATGTTTGTGTCTATTTGTAAACTGAGGTGTAAGAAGAATGATGTTTGTAAATGATACTGGCTATTTTCACAGATGAATATTGGATCATTGTTTACATTTATTTATATTTTAAATTTTCTTTATTTTAGAGCCATCCTAATTATTGCCATCAACATATAAAATATTATTCAATGCAGGCCTGTATTTATCATATATTAGCTAAATAAAAATAATATATATATATTATACAATTATACTTTTAACATTTAACAATATTAATGCAGCAAAGCCTATCCAAAACCCCAATAAAATCTAGGCCTCAATCTAGGCCTAGCGCATGTATAAACAACGCGTAAAATTGCGCGTATGAGCCCGTGGAGTTGTCAAGAACGCCTAGTAAAGCCAAAATATTTGCTGTTTTCAATCGAAATTTTTTTTTAAATTGGAAGAAGTTGTCAGGCCAATATTTCACAGAATACAAGAACAGACACTGATTTTTCATTGGCGACCAACGCTAACATCCAGAAAAATTGCACAATCTTGTAAAACGACGATAATTACGACCATGTTTAGCGATATTAACATTTACGGAGTTAGGTCTTTGTTTGTTTACATTTTTACTGTAGACCGGCCTTACTTTTCTTGTTAAAATTCATGATTTTTATATAAATTCATGCGTTGCAAAAATTTTCACGATCCCAATCGCGACATGAGTGTGTTCGTTCGAGGCTTGCGGTGCGTAAATATATGAAAGGCGCGTTGAAAACACTTATTGTCCCAATATGGTGCGTATGAAACCGCCGTGGCCCCACCCTATTTTTGGTCGGATGCAGATGTCTAGAACCGCCATGGGGAAGACCTTCTCTTGCATTAACCTGTTGTCGTCTAGCCACCAGCGAAGGTGCTCAGAAATTAATTGCGTTTAATGGAATCACTTTAAGAAGATCGTCCGAAATCGGCCTTAAGTGGCCTCATGCGGTGGTGACATTGTACCAGATCGACGAAATTTGCTAAATAACCGACGAAACTAGTGCAAGGCAAAGTTTTAGGATTTATAATATCTTAAAATGCATTATTTAGGATTTGCCTTGCCCAGAACAAAACTTAACTACACTCATTGAGACTCAAAATTTAGTTTGTGTGTGATCAGTACACTTTCTGTCCATGAAGGAAATACTCGTCATAGATTGAGTTTCTTTTCACAACCTTGATCGTAAAATTCTAGTGCATGTGTAGAAACTACATAATTTTGGACATTCCGGTTTAGGGTTGCAAAAAGTTGAGATCATTACAAATGGGCTAAATGTGTCGGCGAAGACCAGTCTGTCGTCAAGATACATGAAGATGTGCGAACGCCTTGTTCGCTACCAGATCTATATGTGAGCAACAGAAGGTGGCAACAACAGAATACAGTAAAATTCAAAGCACTAGATGAAAATCCAAGCACTTGCATCCAGGCAAATATATATATATTCACTAGTTCATTTATTTAGTGATACGTTCATTCATATATTTTTCCATTTATTTTTATCCATGCTTTCTTTTACTTGCATATTCATTAGTTCATTCATTCGTTCATTATTTTCATTTATTTTTCACTCAATTATTAATTTAATCACTCAGATAAAATCTCAGAAATCCCAGAAAAACAAAATTAGTTTTTGAACATAATTATTCTGAATTTTTTACATTAAGCATAATTATGTGTTTGCATATTTTTCTCTCCATGTGTTTTTTCTGAAAATCTCTTCAACTCACGTAAAACTTAACAGTCGAACCCGTGAAGTGTGGACAAAGAAATGCAGGAGCAACTTATGTTCGTTGGGGTCGAAGTGACTGCAACACAAATACCTCGGACATCGTATACTCTGGTAAGTTACAACTTCATGTACCTGATAAAATTCTAGTACATCTATACCTCTAAGGCGGGTTTACCTGTTCACCAATTTTCAACATTACATGTAACCGGAATTCTGAAAATACAAATTTGTTTGGTATATATAAGACTATATATATATCATTTAATATTATATATAGGCCTATATATATATATATATATATATATATATACATGTATATAAAACAACCACAACATTTATGATGCTAAGGTTGTAATAATTGAATAATAATTTGAAGTAACTGAATAATTTCTTGTAATAATTGAATAATTTATAATGTGTGTAATTATATTTTTTGATATATTATTGTTTAAAATTAATGTTGATTGTATTGTATATTCTCTATTTGTATAATCGAATAATTGCTTGTACAGGTATTTATGTTGTAATTTTATTCTACCCTGCTTCATGGTCAAGAGCTTGTGTGCACCACTTTTGGCGTTATGGCGCTCAGTCGCTGATGCAGCCTCAGCTCCCATTTGTACCAATACATACATAAATAAAATAATATGATTGTATAAATCTAAAAATATATGTAACAAATCACTTTTAGTTAGCAATGGTTGCTTAGGTCTTGCTGAAACTATAGAGAGGCGTTGAAATTTGTTAGGCACCGGTTTATAGATAAAACATAAATAAAGTAATAGTAATGCAAGTAATGATAAACCATCATGAATATTAATATATGAGTGCATTAAAATGGGTATTGTAAGAAAATAGCATACAGTCAAAATAACTAAGGTCAATTTGATAAGTAAAAATTTATATATTTATAAATATATAAAAATGAAAACATTAGTCCATCCATATAATATGTCATTGGTATATTTATAAGGCATAGATTTGTAATGCAAAAGGAATCCAAAATTCCTAATAATTCCATTATTAACAATTATTGAGAGAGCAGCTTAGCTCGGTCGGCTAACCTGGTGGTACCCACGGTATGTTCGCTGAACCGAGGAGATCTCCATGTCCCCGATTCGATTCCAATCGTTGCCTTTCCTTGTGTTTCAGCTGGAGGGATGAAATAAGCCGTTGGTCTCACGTTAAAGAATGAAGTACGCTCTTCGGAAAAGAGTAGAAGATTTTCTTCCTGTGTACCGCCCAATCACCACCAGAAGGACCCCACTGAAAATAAGTCTTCTTCTAGACTTTTGTGGGCTATCCTTGGTGTTTACGCCAAAGAAATAAATCCAATCCAATCCAACACAATCAAATAAGTCGATAATTTTTTTGTTCTGCGGCTTGACAGTCGAATCTGTTGTGAAATTGTCCTGGCTGGATAATCACTACAGTGATCATAGGATCTGTGTTAATATGGGAGCCGATATTGCATCTAGATTGGTTGCATGGTTGTGTGCAGTCAACTGTATTGCTATTATTTTTAGTGTACTAAAAACAAGCCGTTTTTAGGTTGGTTGGTTAAAGATAAGCAATTATGAGTTTATTAGTAAATATTTTGTTGAATATGAATCATTACTTTTCTTTATATAGTATAATAAAGCAGTACGAGTCTGATTTAAGCCGTGTACATGAGAACCATAAAGCAGGTGAGTTTTTTTTTTTAAGTAGAGTATAGGCAGAGCACCTTATTGGCAGTAGGAATAATGAGATCTTCAGTTAGGAACACACAATAGTTTCCACAAGTGTAGACAAGCTGTGGTATGCTAATGTCTTATGTAGTAGATGTGGGCTTTGTAGAATATGCTTTACTTACCCTTAGTTTTATTAATGAGACTTTGCAACTGCTAAGTTTATATTTATGTACTTTTTTTACCCATGTGATGATTCTGTTCATCAGAGGTAAAGCGACAAACAATGCAATTAGCAAGCAAGCTTGAAGAGTTCAGATGTGAAAATATGGTGAAACTAAAGAAAAAGCATCAAAATGAGAAACAGAAATTAAAGGAAAATACAATTAAAGCTAAAGCAAAAGATTTTGTTGAAGTAAGTTTATTCTATATTTGCATTTAATTGTCTAGACATGTATGTAATATCTAAAACTATATCAAAAAACTAAATCATGCAAACTGTTCAGAAATATCAGAAACTTGGCATAGGCCTAATTACAACATTACTAATTTAATACGTACATTAGTTTTATTGTACGTATGATCTGAAACCTAAAATTTTGTCATTTCATATTCTTAATTACAAACTTTCATTATTATCATTTATCTCCCATTACATGTTGACCGATATTTGTATCGTAATATTAACAGGCCCACCATGATTTGCTGGGGCAGCAGAGGAACGAATGTAACGATTACATTGACGAACTTGATTACAGTGAGGCTCAACAGATCAGTGGACTTAGAAAAGTATGGAATATGTGTAAACATAATATACACATACATACATGTGTATCTATACCTACATATATATTCATCTATTAGCTTATATTGTTTGCGCCTGTTCATAAACTAATGTTAGTTTATTGTGGCTTAAAACGCATTGAAACTGTTTTTTTCTGTCAAAGGCGCTATAGAAATACATGACCATTAACCATTGTTTTGCAGTACTTTGCAGCCAATCTAAGTTTGAAAGGCAAATGGAAAAAAACAGAAAAACAGCAAACGGCCATATAATGCAAAACAATTTAAAATTAAAATTAAAACAGAACAGTAGAGAAAATCCGATCAGAATAAACTAAACATCCACTGGAAGGAATCCCAATATCTGCAGACCGATTCGTTTCGGCCTTCCAGGCCTCATCAGTGCAGCTAGGGTACAGACCCAAACGAAACGTTCAACCAGCTTAGGTAGGGCCCAAACTAGTCCCACGATCACTAATGTGTACAGAGCCAAACCAAGGCAATATATATACACAGCCCAGGTTTGAATGCAAATAGTGGAATACAAGCTATGCGGGATGGTTCCAGTAGATACAGAGAGAATATTTTTGTCATTCTTAACGCGTCCTACGAAATTCTTATGGGACAGCACTAGTCCGTGAATTTGTGAACAAGATCGGAGATCTAAAGATGCAATCTCTACCGTGCATCAATGGCGGCGCTGGATCTCAAATAGAGATTTTAACACTAACTGACGAAAATCTTAATTAAAATATCTTAATTAATATCTTAATTAGTTAATTAATTGATATAAACACCATGCACAGCAAAATATATTTCATTTAACATATCGGTTCCACGTATGTCTTGATAATATAAAATAAGTACGATTGCACAAAGTAGAAACATACGTTGCCATTATAGAAAACCAATGGTGTGTGCTGCATAGGCAAATATATATTCAATAAAACAACAGACGAGATAGTTAATTTTCCGTAATTTATTTGAAATAGATGAGCATCTAAAAGACACATTATTATTTATTATTTTTAGCAATTGAAAACAAATTATCTGGAATCTATTAAGGAACAAGAGACCTCATTCTATGAAACTCTTGCTGATCAAGCTCGGTTGACAGATGATAAAGTGAACAAACTGATGAAGAAACATTGGAAAAATGTTGATAACTTTCAAGGTATTAACTGTATTGATAATTCAGTTGGCTTTCATGTAGAATATGTCTGACGTCACCTCGGTGTTTTATAGGTTAAAGTGCATCACTACACCATAGTTGCCCCCCTTCCCTTTTTTTCCATTGTTGTCTACCATATTTCATCGTACATGGGTAATAGATCCTGTACCCTGTATCTCTGTTCATTTTTTTTTTTTTAGTTCCTATGCATGTAATGCAATAGGAACTATTGTAATCACTCTTCACATTTCCTTTTTTTTTGTATTGTGTGTAGTATGTGTGTGCGTAGACATTTATGCAAATGCGCATGCGTCAAAGTAAAGTTTTCCGACATTTTGTTTTACCTCGCGATGGGAAGTTCGATGTGAAATTTCTGCAGAGTTCAGTCAGGGCTCACGCTAACCGATCGGCAAGTCGGCATGGATGGAAATATTTTGGTTTTACGGCAAAAAAAAAATCAACTGCTGTGGCATAGGTATTTTGAAGAAGGCCTAAAATAAAACAAAAAGGTTTTAATACTTGCTGAAATACATCGTTTTTTTCATTTAGATCTCCATTTTTCACTAAATCCATGCGACGTTTTTTTTCTGTTGTATGAGTAGTCATATGAAGGTACTATATTCCCGACAATTGGCTATGCACCAATGTACCCTTTGAATGCAAATTGAAGACAAGTGAAGATATAAAGGCAGCCGACTGTCGGGTACATAACGACTATCTAACTTTCCACAAAAACATTAGGCCTAAGCTAGGCCTAGTTCAGTACAGTAGGAACTGCGATGCGAGGGTGGTAGATCGTTCAGTCATTGATATCGTGTTATCGTCTAATACATTTTAATGTGTGTAAAATTTAAGAATGCACCACGTGGGTCGCTTTCTTTGTTATGCGGTAGTAGTATACGTAGCAGAGTGAAGGCAGCAATCTAAGCCTAGCCTAGGGCCTAGATAGTATACATTCTTGATCATCGTAATGAAAACTTCGGGTGACAGACGATTGGGCCCAACTGGTGTGGACGATCTGACACAAGATAGCTTCAAATAAATTGTAGGCCACTGCCACCACCCCCACTCCTGATATCGTTCCAAACTACTGTAAAATGGAATTACTGTATACCTAGCTAGACTTAGGCCCTATGCCTACGAAATTTTTTAAAGAAATTTGCTAAAAATATTACTGTAATTTGCCTGTCGAATTACATTACTAAAATCACTATTTTGGGCCATAAAGACTCCCCCTGTATTTTTCAACCTCCACACAAATTTGACCTAACATATTTA